AGGAATGAAAATGCCCACTTTTACTAGAACACCAGATCATCTCCATTCCCTGAACGTAAGAAAATGCTTGGGGTGGGGAAACAGTGCAGTGGTCTTTTTCAGTATCTAATATTACATTTGACACATCAGCACTCCCAGAATCCCCTGGAAAAATTAGTCTTGTATCATGTTTGTTTTGTCATATTAACGAACTTGCCACGTAACTCAAGTTATTCCAGCAGTTTCTTCACAACCTAGAACAGTGCTGGAAGCAGCACAAGTTTCACTGTTTTCCTTTCATCCTCCCTCCACAAGCTCTGAGCAGAAACATTCTGACTGAAAAAAAAACCTAGATGGCACTCAGATGGTCACAGCTAAGGATTTCTGGCCACATTCAAACAGTCTGGTTAGAAATGAAGGGTTTTTTTTAATATATTTTTTTTTCATATATAAATAAATAACATTTTTTTTTTTAAAGGTCACAAGCCAGACTAATAAAAAAAAAAAAAACAAAACAAAATCACAACATCCCACACTTTAGCAAAAAAGTTGTTATCAAAAAGCATGATAACCATTCCTAATCACAGAAGAATTCTACAGTCTTTAATGGCCAACATGAAGTGACAGTAGCATTTGTGACCCAGCACAATCACTGACATATTACAAGTAGTTTAGGAAGTGGTACCTATTTCACAGATTGTTTGAAAATTCAGCTTCTAAGAGGAAAAAAATACTTGCTATGCTTTCTGTCTTGCAGGTCTAACAGCCACTAAAACTGCAGCTCTGGCTAGTGGAGATACTGCCATCAAAAAAAATTTTTCAAACTCCAATTAGCACACAATATTTGTATAAATACTAATAGAAACTTAGAGGCAAGACATTAAGAATGACCAGATAAAGCTTTCTTCAACAGATCTCATCTCTACAATGAAGAAAGCACCTACCTACAAGCCCCACAATTACTGCTGGCAGCCAAAGACCATGACCTTGATCTTTCATATACTGTCACTGCTTTTTTTCTAGGCTCTTATCTGAGCAGCATCAGTGCCTAGATCAGCAGATTTGGAATGACACTTAGGTTCTTCCTGAAAATCAATCCAATGCATTAATAGTCAGATTTATGTTGTTATTTCTAACAGTTTCACCTTCAAGCCTTCTGCAACTACCTCCTACTTCATGGGTTTCAGGCAACTGGATATAGCCAAATAAAACACTTAAGAAACTTAGTGTTGTCTGTTGAAAACAAATGCTGCCCAAAACAAAAGGATGTCTTTCATTACTTTTCAAATTACCAGAGATGACTTAACATGAGTCATCATCTGATTTCCAATGACCTGATCTATCTCCCAGCTGAGATTTCTGCTCTGGACTAGCCAATTTGATGGGACCTCGCACAGTCTGGCGAAAGAGCGAGGGCAGCACAGTGGTCACATGAGAAGCAAAAGGTTCTTCTGTATCCTGAGGTCACAATCAGGATTGCTGCTATACAAGAGTCACTGCTGCACATTTATTAATTACAAAGCTCTTCAAATCCCTGTGCTAAGCAATGTACTTATTAAAAAAAAAAGGTGATTTTTTTAAATTTGGCTGGTCACCTGCAACAGAGCTTCTCTAGAAATGCATTCATGACCAGACTTTGTCCTGCCTTCCCTTTTCAGATGGTAAAAGTGGCACCTGCCATTGACAGAAACATGCATTTTTGAAACTTAAGGAAATAGAAATCAGTGGAACCGATTTCTCCTACCATTCCCATGAGTCACTGTGCAAAGGGAGAGCACATCAGCTCCTCAGGATGGCAACAGAGGAGCTTGAGCATTAAGGTAGTTTACCCAGCAGTTTCCACACTGCCTGAGTGGAAACCAGGGACACATTCCCAATACATACATTTATTTTTCTGCTAGGATTTTTAAACAGATTCACTACAGAGCTTTCCAACCCTTTTAGAAGTCCATGTTTTCATGTAGTAGACAGGCCTAATTTTAATATTATTAGGGAACAATAAGAAATACTTTCAAAAAGAACTGGGATGAAGCTTTATTAAGATACTGGGATTAAAATTATCTGAGCTACTGAAGATGGCCTTCTGAGTGGGAAGAAAAGGCAATTTGTGAGTTCTGTAACAAGGGAGAACTCCTGAATTCACAACAACAGATGCAGAAATCAGCACACAGGGCAGTGACCAGGAAGCACGAGCTATTTTCTTGAACACTTTAAGGTGTTCACACTTCAGAAACATTTTAGTATATTCAATATATTTGCCTTCTGCAAGGCAGCCACTCAAAGCAAATGATAAGTTCATTTCCAGGCAACTTAAAACACTGTTCTGTACAGACAAAGCTTTTAGGCCTTCTCCCTCACCCTTTGTTATTGCTGTTTGTTTTAAATAAAAGGGCTCCACATGTTGAAGAAGAAGAGTCTATTTCATATTTTGGCAGATGGGCACTGCATGCACTAAAAGAGTTTGGAAAAAATTACATTGATGATAACTGAGACAAAAAGTGTTTTAGACTTTCAGTAGAAAATGCACATGGATCCAGTCTTGCTCAAAGGGTGAAAATTGGCAGCTAATCACTTAAAAAAAAAAGTGTTCCAAAATTAATTACTAGCATATTTGTATGCCATACTTCTCAAATTCTCTGTCTTGGCAGGCAAAACTCTTCTGGGGGGTATATTGGTTTTATATTTCTGGATTATGTTGAAAAAAACTATATGAATGGTTTTAAAATTTGACACCAGTCTGGCTTCAAATAAAAGTGTTAGTTGTCCATCATTTTTACAGTTTCTAAATGACTGTGTCAACATAAAGTCAGATGAACTGTACAGCACATAAAATCTGGACGCTAAAGCCTCTACTCATCTTGCATCCAGAACCCAAATGGGCACAACACTACAAACCTCCCTGCCAAACCTAATATGCATTACACCTTGCTATGGCATTTCAGGTGTGAAGGAGCAGGATCATCTCCCAAACAACAATCTAATCTCCATGGTCCACTGACTGTGATATTTCACAAAAAATATCAGCTAGGTTGCAGACACTGAAACACAAACATCAGCCTTCCTGATGCAACCCAACAGTAACAACCCTTGGAATCCTACACAAAATTTGAAAGCACCAGGCACATCTGGAACTCCCACGCCCCGTTTCACCAAGTCCCTTTCCTGTCTTTTTGAACTGGACAGCTGGCTAAGCAACTGCCTATAACCCCAGTCCTATTTGGGTATTTTTTACTTTTGAGGGAGCGGCACCTGCGTTACATCAAACACCGACCCCAGCCTCTTCCTAGCGAAGGCATCCTACAGGGCTCGGAGGCTACCTTGAGTGGTGAAATTGAAGAGTGCAGGTTTCTCTCGCCCATTTGGTAACTTGACATTTGGGTCCCGTAGTTCATCGAAGAAAGAGTGCGCACAGGCCTCCAGGGGCGTCAGGCGGGCAGTGGGGGTGTACTCCAACAGGCGGCTGCATAGCGCAATTGCTTCTGGTGGAGTGCGGGGCCGGAAGACCTGAACAGAAGAATAAAAAACAAGCAAGGAGAAACAGGTTGTCTGGGTTTGTTTCTTTTCTTTGCTGATCAGAAGCAAGTCAGAGCAATTAAACCTCTCGCTGCCCAACAAGCTGGAACAAACTTGTGTGGTCTGTGCTAGTCAAAGTCCCCCGGTAAGTACGGGAAAATCCAGTCCCTGGGGTTGAGAAAGGGTTAATTGCAACGTCTTGCACTAGAGTGAAGGTGCAATGCCAGCAAGAGACTTCATGAGAGCGCACTCAGAAAAACAACTTCAAGAATGAAGGGTAAACTCATTCAAAAATCATGATAAACACACACAGGTGCTACCAGCCATGCATATGGGGTGGAGTGAAGGTGGGGAAGAGAGTTCAAATGAGCAGGATTCACTGAATGTAAAAATTGAATAAGGCCCCTCTATGGTTTTGGGTGGTTTTTTTTTGTTTGTTTTTTTTTTTTTTTTTGGCTTGTGAATGAAGTCTTACTAACATGGACTTTTTTGCAGGCAGGCAGGTCAGATTGTTGCTATGGAGGCTGCTGTTCAACTTTGGAGAACAACAAGGAAAGCATGGGTGGGGTGCAGGAAACGTCTAGCTCTAATTTGCAAGTTACTCCTTCCATGACCTTATTCTGGCAAGTCATTCCCATAAATTTATTGGGACAATTCCTGCACATTTGGTGTTTGTAAGGACAGCTGAAAATTGCGTCAAAAGAACCAACTCTTTTACTCCAACAGATTTTTTACCTTGAGTAATTACAATAAGGAGTTCGTCACTGCAGCTTTGTTCTAAACCTCTGAGAACGGTTCTACCCACCGCTAATCACACCCCCATCCTCCTTTCTCATTACATTGAAAGCAAAACAGGAGTTAATCATGTACATGACCTGGATGGCCTTCTCAAGCACTTGTGTCTCACTGTGTTATGGGTGACACGCAGACTGGGCAAAAGGGAGTGGGCAAAAGGGTGCGTGTTAGGTTCTGATGCCAGCATTTTTGGTAAAAACTAAGCTAATACAAAATGCTTTTGCATCAGTGCAGTGAACCCAAGCCACACAACACCAAGGAGAAAAAAAATAAACAAAACCAGAACCAAACCAGTGCATGGCATGCTAATTAAATTTTAGATAAGGAACTTGCACAGGCACTTCTCATGTAGTTTTAAACCAAAGACACATATGCTCTCTTGAATGAGAACCAAGCATAATTGATAAATTCTCAGGGGGCCTGAAATGTTATCCCCTTGGTGCCCAGCTGGCTCTGGAGCACCTGGGATTTGCACTATGTGCTATACTAGCTTGTGTGGCAAGGAATCCTGACTCGGGGGGTCACAGAACCAACCAGGTACTGAAAGAGCGGAACTTATTTCTCCTACCAGTTTGCAAAACAAAACTACCAGTTTGCAAAAGTTTCGTACGAGGCCTATAGTGACAAAAAGAAAGGCTTCAGCCTAACTCTGCTGGCAGAGGGAACTTCTGACCACCGTGCCATGAACGGGACAGTCGAAGCTGCTTTGTGCCCGCTGCCTGCAGAGCTCGTGTTGCTGACCACAGTGCATGCAAGTGTCGCTCCCAAGTCACAGCCTGACCAACACGAAAATCTAAGACCGTCTTCAACTAAAAATAAAAACACAACCCCAAAAAGCCCTCTTTTTTTTTACCCCACAGCCAGTAGCACAGATGAGGATGTCTTGAGGTAAATCCACAGAAATGAAGTTATTTGGTATTTAACATTAGGCAAAACTACTGAGGTCTCCCTCATGCATCTTCACACTGATGCTTTAACAGGCTTCATCTACCACAGCTTGAAACTGAAGCTTTGTTGAAACTCTTAGCTGTGTTTTTCCCTCAGGACGGCTCACATAACATCTACCATACAGATTTTTAAAAAGAAAAATTTTTTTTTCCTTAAGGCAAAGACAACAAGCCCTTATCGTGAGCAAATTAGTAGGCACAGTCACCAATTTGCCATCTGTAAAAGGAGTACTCGTTTGTCCACTCAAACGCCTCATTTTCAAGTCAGTGAAACCCTGACATCTGTTTCCTAAAACCCTGTTGATAACTGCTCAGCCTGCCTTTAGATCTGAAATTAGTCACTTGGGGTAGGCAGTTTGAAATCTGCCCTAACTGCTTCAAACCAGGGAGGGGGGAAAAAAAATAATTAAAAATTAGGAGGCCTCACATGGCCTCCCCCTGCAACAAGCAGTGACTAACACATGAAATGAGTTACAGTTCTGCATCCATCTCATCTCCACTACCTTGTGTTACAAGATTCACCTGGCTGCTGCCTCAAGGATGTGGTTAGAACTCAGGTATTCCCATTCTAGCATTTATCTCCTTTTTTTTCAAGGCTAGGCCTAGTAATTTGAAAAAATGTTTAAGTACATACCCGTACTCCTGAGGTGAAATGTCCTGTTCCTGACGAGTCCTAAAGATGATAATGCAGTGAAATAATCCAAACAGGGGGAGTCAATCCAAAAGAGAATAGTCCAGCAAGGAAAAATATAGCCAATATTATAAGAAATCCATGGTGTGGGGGACATAGAAAATGTTTATAACAATTAGAAACTTTAAACATCAGTCTCCATAGCAGCAAGTCCAACTTCACCACAGTGTATGCCAAAAAATCGATTGTGCAATGGTGAGGCATAGTATAGAAACATTTCTATGTTAAATTTACGTTCCAATGCCAGTGCATTTACTAAAAAATAAAAAAAATTGAAATCAAAACTCTAACTTGAACTAAAAGGGTAATTGAAATTCCCATCATAAAGTATTTTCAGTCCTTGGTCCTGGATATAAATGTCCACAGACAATGGGGCCAGATTAGTTTGTCCCCAGAGGTGCATCCCACTTGTAAATCTGTCCCAGAGACACGGTGTAAAGTTTTGGGTGGTTTTGGTTTGTTGGTTTGTTTGTTTTTTTGTTTGTTTGTTTGTTTGTTTTTTAAAAAAAAAAAAAAAAAAAAAAAAACCAACAAAACCAAAACCAAACCTGTAGTAATTTGTGCTGAAGATAAAGTAAAAATCCGAGATCTGTACTTCGAATTTGGATGCTTTTAATTTGCATGAGCTATGAGTGCCTCAGGCCGCCGCGGATTATTCTCCATTTTGGATTGACTTCCCCCGCCACTGGATTTTGTTTGCTGGTGTTATCTCTTTAGGATCCTTCAGGAACTGGACGTACCACCTCAAGAGTGCGGGTATGGACTGAGTTTCTCTCTACTGTGGGTTTATTCCCCCTCATACCCGTCGCACCCGTTACTTAACAAATTTTCTTTCCCTCCCTCAATTTGTCCCTTCCCGCCTCCCTTTTGAGTAACGCCCTAAGAAATAAAAGCAAAACCCCTGTGGTCTTTTAGCTCTTCCCATTCGACACAATTCCACCGGGAAAGCTGCCCAATTCACCCACAGAGAACTACACGAGTGGCTGGGCGAAACCGGCCCAATTCACCCACCGAGACCTCCACGAGTGGCTGCTGCCCACAGCGACGGGTGAGCCACGACCTCCATGCCACAGGGTGCCGGTGCCAAGGCAGTGCCGGGCCGGCGCTCTGTGGTGGGAGGGGGCTGGAGGACAGGCAGATGGTGGGAATTCTGAGCTGGGAAGCCCCTCATGTGTGCAGCTCAGCAGGAGTTTAAGGTCTCTGTAGTTCTCAGTGAGGGAATCGATTTAGTAAATAATCCGCGGATTATTTTTAGTCTGCGGACTAAAATTTAGTGCACGGACTAAAATCCGGCCCATCGGAGCAAAGTCTGTCTCGGTCTAAAATACATCTGGGTGAAAGCAAAAGGAAAAAAAAAATAAGAAGAAAGAAAAAAGGAGAAGGGTAAACAAAACAAAACAAAAAGGAAAAAAAGCTAAGTGCATAAAGTAAGGTGTTTGGGCGGACTAACATTTAGTATGCAGACTAAATATGGCCGGGCAAAAGGCACAGCAAGTCCACAAACAAAAAAAACAAAAATAAAACACTGACAGGAACTTTTAAAGCGATCAAATACTACCCCACCGGCGCAGCAATTCATTTTTCTAAAATGAAACAAGACCTTGTGTAAGGCTATTTGTCCACAGGAGGGACCGAAGGCTCAAGTTTTCATTTTAAAAAATGAACCTGTTTTGGAGATAAACAAATGCAAAAAATAGGCTTTACATACAATATTCTTCAAGGAAAATTTGCACTTGCATAACTCAAAACCTTTTGTTTCTGCAAAGCAGATGAATCTCAGGCTGAGACCCAGATCACACATTTTTGTGTGGTTGGCTCTTTATTTATTTTTAAAAATTTTTTTGGATGAGTTATAGAAACCTCTGAATGATCATGTCAAATGGAAATGCCAACTCACCCAAAGCCACAGTGCTTGGTGCTTTTTTTTTTCCCCCTCCCCTTCAGATCCCAATAAATCTATACCTCACAAGAAGCTGAGGGACCAGTGCAAGTTCTTTCTTTGTTCAGGCATGCTGTCGATGCTCAAATACTGACAGACCGAAATAGCTAGACAGCAAGGCAGACACACCCCTCTCTCCTTTCTAAGTTATGCTACTATCAACGCGAAATTTTTATTTTTATTTTTTTTTAATGTTACTCCTCCTTTATTTTTCTGGAACTACCACATTCTGCAACAATTCAAAAATGATTGCCAAGTTTAAGTAGCCTTGGTGCCATGCAGCTCTCATCCCCAAGCAACCTCAATTTAGATGAGGTCTATGTGTACTAGCAGAGCGGTCGCATTTTTATCTTACTGATTTGGAATACTTCCTACCAGTGTAGTGGAGTTCATGCCCTTGCTGAATTTTATTTATTTTGTTTTTGGTACGCGTGGAAAGACGAAAGAAAAAGGATGGAAAGCAGAAAGCACAGGATTCTCTTATTTCATTTCACTCACATCAGCATTCAGCTCTCAAATAAAACCACATGGGGCAAGAGCTAAGTATTGTTTTAACAGAATGGTTGCTCTGACTTTCAGTTCATTGACATTCTTCAAACAGACTTTCCATGCACAACAC